TACCATGTGCCTGGATTCAAATCGGAGAGGACAGCTCCAAGTTTTGTTGTCTGTAGGGAAAGCGAGCAAATATAGTGGAATTCACGATGAAATACTTCAACAAATATGATCACAGTAATCAGAATAATAAAAACCACTTCACAGTCTTCACTCATCTGAGTAAATCGGTCTGCATCAACAATTGTGATTATTATCTCATTAAGGTTAGGAAGTTACCTTCTATGGGCAAACACAGAGGATGGAGACAGCAGAGTGCTAGGGCACCAATGATCTTCAAGTGACCAGTGACAGAAAGCCATGTATATTACACAGAAAGCCGTTTACTAACAAGAAAAATATACATAATAATAATGAAAGCCATTAAAGGTGACAGGTTCGACTGATGTGACTCAAGAGTGCGTCCCACTTACAATGAAGGGTATCAGTTCTCAAGTTTATTATTTACCAAAATGGTTTCGTCCATATGAACAATGATCCCCTTTCTTTCCATTTATCTATTTACAAGAAAAATACAGATAGAACACCCTTGACCCAATCCTTCACCTAATCCTAATCCTATTCTCAATTTTAACCTTAACCCTAATCCCAACCCAAAGCAATCCCTAACCTTTGCCCTAACTCTGACGTGCTGTCAACCCATTGTCGAAACAGTACTTAAAAACGATATCGCGATGAAATTTTACAACATTTCGGGCATTGTATTCATAGGGGCGACATAATAGTCGTAGGTTCTATGATCCAACAAAAGGCGTGCATTTAGGTTCATTGGTGCGTCCACACTCCTCTGTCTGAATGCTTTAGGATGGCCCATTTTATAAGATTATTCCTTGCCAAGCTGGTTTTAAATCCTTGAATTCCCAGGGGAACATTGGGTTTCAGGCTTTGAAGTTTCTGTAACGGCGGTGTTGTTTCTAACAATTGGAGTTGCAGGCCTCGTGCCCAATCCTCCTTCTTTTCCAGTCTAACTACCGACTGGTAAACAAGATGAGGTTTGGGAGTGTGTCGGTTGGGAATCGAGCGTGAACCTCCTCTGTGGCTGGCAATCATTCTACAACTAAAGCACTAGGTCTTATACACATCTTATTTAAGAAGCGAAGCATTAAGTACTATCACCTCCGTTTAAATTCTTCTGAATAGGACGATTTTAAAATTTCATTTAACTTTGTGAAGTGGTCTGAAATATTTATACCTCAGAAAATGAATGTTTCGATGACGCTACTTGCGAATAACACAGCTTTCAAGGAAACGCTAACCATTATCTTTAATGCAACTTTGAAATCAGGCCAAAGATTCCCACTATTAATGACAACATTCTGTGCTAACCCTGCTAGCCCTTTAAATAAACAAATGGTGCATGCTAAGGAGACCGTTGAGTGACATTGCATTCCAGACAACTCCTTGAATAGAACCCGATAGGAAACGGAGAGTTGAGCGTGTGTCCGAGGGTGAAATGGATGAAATTCTGTGAGGAGGAGATAAGAGGTAGTGGATAATGGCGGATCCAGGGAATGGGGATTGCAGAGAGCAGAGTAAAATGGAGGTGTGTTGCTGAAGTCCCATATTCCACTCGGAACCCAAAGCAATAACAATAATTTAATAAATAACTTGAATAAATTAAATTAAGCAAATGAATATCCTTCACAACATGCAAAATTGATGTTCAAAGTTGTTAAATAAATTCTGCAAAATTAATTATTAGCATTTTAACATAATTAACTTTTAGTATGTTGAAATTCATCCATTTTCTGTGCTGCGAATAACAAAATTTTTGATGTAAAGTAACTTTATTCATTTTATCATGCTGTTTAGAAAAAGGCAACTGGTGTATATTTTGCTGGTAAAGTAATCGACTTATTCACTTGTGAAAGACTGCGGATATACTTACAACTTGACATTTGTCAGTTGTTACTATTATTATTATTATCATTATTCACTTGGGTTCCGAGTGAAGCGTAAGGCTTCTACAGCATATATCCATTTCATCCTGTTCTCAGTAGTCTTCTTCAGTTGCCCGCACGATTCTCCATGAACTTTCATCTTTTCATATGATATTCTTCATGTCACCCTCGGGAGTACGCCAAACTCGTCGTTCCCCACTCGGGTTACACTCGAGGGGTTGCCCAGTGTCTCCTCACTGTCTGTCAAATCCATCTCCATTTCCTCTGGAGTGTCTTTCGAGCAATAGCTTCTTGGTTCCTAGACATTCTGGTTGCTAATTCTTTCAGTATGAAACCAGCGAAAGAAACTGTCGATAAAACTCTGTAGTAGCCCATTCAAAATGCTTTTCGTGACACGCTTGGAATGTCTCCGAACCACATAGAAACCATAACTGACTTGATATTAGTGTTCAAAATCAGAATCGCGTCCTTTATGCTCAGTGCAGAAGATTTCCAAATTGATTCCAGACTGATGAAGGACTGTTGTTTGGCGTTCAAATATGTACTACCATTTAAAATCTTCATCTACTCCGCATATAGTTTGAACGATTCTGCTGCCAAGACAAGTGAAAAAAGCGACCTCGTTCAAATTTCTCTTAATGATAGTAATTGATTCTGGTTGTTGTTGGTTGTCTATCTTCATCACCTCCGTCTACTTTGTATTCACTAGAAGTCTTCAAATTTATGTGATAGTACACATGAACCGTCCGTGAAATACAGATTTTTTAGAGTCTCCTCATAGGTTCAAGGTATCCCGGTCTTCTCGCTTCCCATAGTCTGCAGCATGATCCAGTCCACCACGATTAGGAATGTCGTTGGTGACAGTAGGTAGGTAGTCTATTCGTACTCTTGTATTTACTCTATAGGCTTCTCTGAGTGCTTCGTTGTGGATCACATGAAATGTGTCATTGTCATATAGATGTTGAATGGAGTCGATTAAGATTTGGGGCATTTCATAATGTTGAAGTAGTTTCCGGATTGCTTCACCATCAACGCTGTCAAAGGCCTTTCCGAAGTCAATGAAGCTGATGTAGAGGTTTGACTGATATTCTATGCCCTGTTTGATGATGATGCATTGAGCTGCAATTTGATAACTACTTTATTTGCATTTCCTAATTCTAGCTTGTTTTGGTAGAATTTTCGCATCCAGTACATCTCTTAGCCTCTCCAAGATGACACGACTTAATATTTTTCTTGACATGGTTCCACACAAGTTCTTGTGGTGGCTCAAGTCGTCCTTCTTTGGTAGTTTTACATAGCAGTCTTTCTTCCAATCAGTAAGTACCTTTCCCACCTTCCAAACTCTTTACGGATATCTATTAATTACTGACATTTAAGAAAAAAATATCCACGCATGAAGGTAGAGAATTTTCGAAACCTTTCAGGTGTTTCAAGTACTCATGGTATTCCAGTGGTTCTCTAACAGCAACATCTTTGTTCTGGACAGTATATATAAAATGTACAGAATTCTGGGATGGGTTTATTGAATAATATTTTCCCTTCGTACAATATCGTGATGTTAAGTATTAATTGACGGTGTCTCGTGTGACACAATGGTCTCTGAGCTGAAGCACAAGCCATTCCATTATGATATATCTGCTTTGTCTCCTTCAAGAAATCCACGATATCTGGTTGGAAGCCATTTGTAAGATGTTCAGAAGTACATTTTGAGACCCGACGACCTAGCTGAAGAACAGTTATCTCACATATTGGAACACATTGCCATCCGGAATCAGGCCTTTCCTCAAGTTTATTAGGAACTAGCGAAACAGAAGCTTGTAAACATTCTAAATACACACACTAGAGGTCATATCTTAATCGATTAAAACTAACCGAACGAGAGAAACTATATGGAATAGAGAGAGAGATGGAAGTTTCTGTTAGCCCAAGTTTTAAGCATGTCGCCAAATTCCGGCTCATGAATAAAAGTGTAGGCTAATCAAATCCCTGCAGATTGGCACTTGATAATTAACCTGATGTTCACTATCGACTGCCAACATGCAGAAAGTCACAGAAAGTTCTAGTGAGAAGCCGTGATCAGCGGGGTAAAACAAGTCAGGTAAGAGGACAGTCACTCGCTGGTGACATAGGCTAACGGATGTCCTGTATATATATATATATATCATGAACAAGCAGAAGTTGGAATTCAGAGGCCACTGAATCGGGTCAGAGACCTCGCCTTGTAACCCACAGGTTTTCGCTTTGAACCCCAATAGGTGTTCACTGTTGAAGAGTTCCAAACTAAAACGAAACAGCTGTCCAGTACTCCCTGAATTTCCATTGGTCCTCTAACTGATGTAATCTCGTCATCAAAACTGTAGGCAAACAAAATCCCTGTAAACCAAGAACTAATAAGAAAAATATATATTATATTTAACATCTTGTATGCATGTCAACTTCTGTTAAAAAAAAAGAGAAGCAATCTTACCCAAATTAAATTAGTCCATTTATTAAATAGATATTCATTCGGCTGAAATGGTTCCATAAAATTATTCATAGAGAAAAATGATATACTGTTAGGCTTATCCATAGGCGACTGAATTGTCTGTACAAGAGATGAATACATACGAAGTTGAATGAGGAATACCACGGGATTATTTTCACTTATTGAATGATTATAATAATTTGGCCAGTCTAACTCCAACTGATGATTATGCTGATGTCCATTTGAAAGACTTGAACTCTCTGAAGTTATTGAATAAAGTCTACCATTTGACTGAACTTGAAGAGGAGTTTCAATTCGTTTAACTATTGGTCTACCAGGAACAGGTGGAGTAACTGTGAATAGTTTCAGAGAAGAAACAAAAAAAGAAACAATTATCAGAAGTATTCACTTGAAAACTGAAATAATTGGAAATTAGTTAGGTAAGCAGTTCATAGATACTTTCAGTAAGAAAAAATGTTTCAAAGTACTGATGCTGAAACTCTGGATGTACCAGCTAAGTTTTTTTATTCCTTCACGTTCTCAGTGGAACATAGGGCTTCAAGCTAGAGGCTTGAAGTTTCTGTAGCAGTGTTTATTTTTACAGGATGGGGTTGCTAGCCTCATTCCCAACCTTTCCTCTTTATCAGCTTTATTTCTGGTTTAGCGAGGCAAAGGAGTGCGTCGTCGGCCGAGGATTGAAACCCGGACCATGTGCATGGTCACCGAGCATCCTAACCACTGTGCCACTGATGCTAAGTCGGTAAATACTGTCTATGAATTCATTCGTCGTCATCCGACAACTGTAAGTCACTTTGGTCCATAAGAGTTACTGCACTAAACATGAGGCAGCAAATATTCGATGCAGTCATTATTTTTTTGATTACAGCTTGATTACACACCGTATTTTTTGGTACAGGTATGGAATTTTCAGCGTGTGATATCGGTAGCCCAAATTTTGCAGGCCGACCATAGATATCAGGTGTGCGTCGGCAGGGGATCGAACCCCAGTCCATGTTGCCTGAAATAAAAATCATTCTTCACATATATTTATTCCCTTTTATGAATTTGAACAATGCAAGAACAAATGTTTGTGTAGAATAAGATGGTGATACTATTATTTATTTCTTTCACTTCTAATCAGCTGCATACAGCAAGTGTTACTTGATTTCATTTGACAGAAACTCCAGACTTAATAAACAGTTTTTAGAAAATTACGCTTGAATACTCAAAACACGTAGAGTTCAGATTTAAACAAAAATAAAGCCAGGAGAATATGCTTTAAAAAGAAATTGTAGGAAGTATTTCTGGTCTTCGAAGAGATGTTGAAAAACAACAGTTACCCTTAGAAATTCATTAACAACTGAGGAAGATATGAGGGTTCAAATACCAGACAAATCATAATGGAAAAGAAGCCTATCTTCTTACAACTCAGTTTTAAAGGTGATAAAATTTCAGGAATAGTTAACAAAAGATAGTAAACCTCACGAGCCAGAGCCTATCCTGTAGCTAAGTTGGTTCCCATTATCGGACAGTATGCTCTTTGATGCAATCATAGCTTGATATATATCCTTCGCATGTTAACTCTAACTGTGTATACAAACTTACATGTATCCGTGATAGCCTTTATATTGGGAGGACAGAAAGAAAGGTACACCTATTGTATGAACATTTACCAAAATACCTACATCTCAAAGGAACAAACGCACCACTGTCAGAAGTTTCATCAATACTGGTCAAGAGGTGGACATTACATCCCTTAAAATTATCACCAAATAAAATGGTTAAATTCTCCTCAAGTTTACTGAAGCAATCTCTGTCAAACTCCTGAAACCCAATTTATATTGTTCAGAAAGGCAGCAGTTATCGGTCTTTCCTTGCCCTTGTAACTGGATGTCTTTACTCCCCCCTTCATTTGTTCACGTAATCTCTGACTTTAACCTCTCCCCCCTTTTGATAAAGTGTAACTTTGCTTGTATCTTGTTTCTATGATTTGAGTTGAAATCACCACACTGAACTTTCTGAGTATAAACCATATTTGTGTGATTTTCTGAGCACTACTTATTAAGTTTGGAGTCTCCTGTCACTAAGTGATATCATGTAAAATTCTCTGTACGCAGCTGATGGGAGGTCAACGAAATAAATGATGGTATCATCTTATTCTACACAAACTGTTGTTCTTGCTTTATTCAAAAATCATTCTGATATTCCAGCATTTGGTGTCAATTTTCGTCAGACCTCTAAGCATTTGAGTAAATCTCAGCCTTCATGTCAGTGGGAGTAATAAATGGCTGGTTCTTAAGAAATTCAATGTATTTTTTTATTGGACACTAGTCAGTAACTAGTGTCATGTGTCCAGTCCCAACTTTGGTGCAGACTGACTTCTATCATTCAGGTTATTGACTAGTGTCCAGTCAAAAAATATCCAATACAGTACTAGAGGAGGACAATCGCGTGCCCAAATAGCACGGTGATTACGTCTCTGACTGCTGAACTGGGTGACGCGGGTTCGAATATGAAGACAGACATGAGTTCCTTCAAGGTTGCAGATACGCCCTGCTAACCGATGAGTGCCAAGTAGCACGAAACCTAGGTCGAAGGCTTCTTGCCGGTCGCTTCCAACTATCTAATACCAAACATTTCATGTATTCATCTCAACGTGTTCTGGAGCTATGATTAGACGACCGAAATAATACCTAGGATGAGTATGTCATCGGCTTATTGAGGTTGGGCATATAAGTAAGCTATTTCACTAGTTTTTGAGCTTCGTACCCTTGAAATATAAACGCAGTCGAATAAAGTGTTTGGTCCGCAAAGCAGGAGCAATCTGCTCTGATACATTAGGCGTACAGTTAGGCATATTTATCGTCAGATTTCCTAACATCATCCTGAGCGGTTAAGTGAAGGAAAAACAAGGTCTATCCACAGCTCTATCCTACCTAATCTCGTGGATACAGAACACAAAATTGATGCTAACAAGGCTTTCAAGATTTTCAACCGTATACCGACTAATTTCAGGTTTACCTCAAGATTTCGTCTGTTACATATTTCTAAAGCAGTCAGAATCCACATTAGGAAACCCAAATTATGTATCCAAAAATAGTTAGTCCAGATTCTTTCCTTAATTTGGTCATCAAGGTTTTGACTAACATTAATTTACTGCATAAATTCTCTTAATTTTATCTGATGTTCTATTTATAGTACTAGATTTTTTAGGCTTATTATAAATTATGCATCCCTCCTGAACTGTAATTTCATGTATCTTAAGAAATCGATATAACTTAAAAATATCATTATTGTCAACGACGATTATTCTGGAATATTGTATGTATATGTATGTGGGTGCCTTGCGCTGCGGGTTGGCCACCCCTCCGCACACCTCTTGAAATGCTCCCATATGACCGGGCGTCTTACATAGCCTCTCCTGAGGAAGTCCTACTCACTGCCTTCACGTGGAAGAGGTGCTATTTTCACCAAAGTGAGAGGGCGAAAGCGGATGCCCGGCGCTCTTCACCGGGTTGACTGTCCATTGGATGACAGTCTAGGGGAGATGGCTAAACCCTGATTCCAAACCTCCAACGACTGGCGTATGAAGCTCACTGGAGCTCACCGGCAGACGTGTGGACAAAGGGCTTGTTGGATGTCCTGCATGTCCGGTCTCATTCAAAAAGGCGTATGAACCGAACTCCGGTCACCGGCTGCCAATGGATAGTGGACTCCCTACTCCACTCCTACTGCCTTGTAGGTCACACGTGGTTGTGTAAAGACTAGAGCTGCACTCTAAAACAAAAGGCCGAGCGATTCTGGGGACATCACTCGTACCCAATTCCCATGAAACTTCATGAACTCTCTTCATGAGATCGCCGCGCCTGGGCAGCGACGATTCGAGATGTTCATGAAGCCGGCTCATCCTCCTGTAGGAGATAGCCGAAGTAAAGTAAGTAAGTATATAATCCTCCTTGGTACAGGAGTTAAAGATTTCTTAAGCATTAACTTCCAGGTTACAGTGACTATTTACAAAAAGATTTTAAGAAGACCAGTACATAGCATCTTTTAGAGCTGCGGCGACTAATGCCAGTAAAATTAGAAAATGGTCCCTTGAACAACCTTATCAGAAAATTCTCATTTTATTGCCGGTATATGGATAATAAATTCTTACTTTGTCAAAACAATTTGGATAAGAACGCAGTAATGCCTCAATTCAATGAAGTACATTCAGATATCAGATTCACTTGTGAAGCAGAATCCTAAAGTAAGATTGCCTTTCTAGACGTCCTATTGACAAGAAGACCAGACGGTAGTATAAGAAGGAATTTGCATAAGAAAAGTACTTGAACCGGTCATTATACACATTTTCACAGCTTTGTTCTTCACTCGTATAAAAAAATCTGGTAAGGACCCTTAGCTATTTCTTCAGAAGATGTGATAGAAGATGAACTTAACGTTGTATACGACACACTGATTGAAAACAGCTACCCTGAAAAGTTCATCACGATACACATGGCCAAGAAAGTAGAAAAGAATTCTTCTGCGCCTGTTAACAAGAAGCCGTGGTACATACGACTACAATTCGAAGGTGATATGTCAAGTATATTAATAACCAACAAGTTGAGAAAATTGATTAAAAGAAGGTTTAATGCCGGTGAGCTTCAGCTTATATTTTCCACGCAACCCGTTGTGATTCCTAAATTGAAAGATGGAGTACCTAGGCTAGACACCTGTCACTGAATCTTAGTTTTACGTGCTAGGCAACACCTGCCAGAAAGGTTAAATAAAGGCGTTGTATGAAATCACCTCGTGCGGAAAGGCTACTCGCGCCAACACTCAAGAACCTCACTGTATCATCTGCTGGGTATAAAATAAATTACCAAAAGGCTCTAGATACAAAACACTCCAAACAACAGAGGCCATCGCAATTCGTTTAAATCAGCCGGCGCTCTGTGTACAAAAGGAACAAGTCCAGCCACTACTGCTACCCTGGCCGTCTGTCGAACCTATATTATTATTACTATTATTGTTCCCTTGGGTTCCTAGTGGAACATAAGGCTCCAACTGCTCGCCTCCACTTGCTCCTGTCTTCTGCTGTATTTTTCACTTGCATCCATGTTAATCCATACTGTTTCAGTTCCTGTTCACACGGTCTCCTCCATGTCACCCTTGGACGTCCCACTCGCCGCTTCCCTTCCGGGTTCCACTCGAGCGATGGCCTGACGCGCGATGTCACCCAACGGCCTCCTCAGTGAGTGTCCAATCCATCTCCACTTTCTCCTGTATATTTGTTGAGCGATTGGTTCCTGATTTGTTTGTTCCCATAGTTTCTTGTTGGTGATTCTTTCCGGCTGGCCATCTGATCTTCAGTATAGAACGAAGACAGTTGTTGATAAAGGTCTGCAACAGGCTGTTGGAAATATTCTTTGTGACCCTCCAAGTTTCTGATCCGTATAGAAGAACTGACTGACTTGACGCGTGTATTGAAAATCCGATTTCGGTTGTTGATGCTGAGTGACGAAGATTTCCAGATTGGTTTCAGGTTGATGAAGGTGTTTCTCGCCTTCCCGATTCTCGATTTGACATCCTCGTCCGTTCCTCCTGTAGTTGATGAGACAATGCTCCCTAGATAAGTGAATGAAGTAACCTCTTTCAAATCCCTCCCGTTGATGGTGATTGTCGCTCGATGTTGCTGCTGCTGTTGTTGGTTGGTTGGTTGGTTATTTTCATAACCTCCGTCTTGTCTATGTTCACCTGGAGTCCTGTCTTTGCTGCTTCTTCGACCAGTTTGTTGGTTTTCGCTTGTAAGTCTTCGATGTGGTGTGACATCAAACATAAATCATCCACGCGCAAAATCCAGGTCTTCTAGGTTCTTCACGTTGGTCCAGGATATCCCTGTCTTCTCGTTTCCCACTGTCTGACGCATAATCCAGTTCACCACAATTGAGAATATCATTGGTGATAATAAGCACCCTTGTCTGACTCCTGTGTTTACTCCAAATGCCTCGCTGAGTTTTCCGTTGTGGATCACTTGACATGTGCCGTTGATGTACAGCTGTTGAATGAGGTTGAGATGTCGAACCTATGAATCCATAAATTCTGTGTTACTTCCCTTCATTTATCTGATATTGAATCTGCTTAGTGTTATATTAATGCATTTTATCTCTCTCTATTACTGATGCTTTTGAAATGTAATCACCTGTCGATACTACTGATTCAATGTTATTTAAAACAGCGCTAATATTGTTAACAACCACAAGTGTCTAATTATTGCTGTCATACAAATGTACAATCTGATGACTAATTTATCCGAAAAGAATATTCTTTATTCATTAATCAGCACATTAAAAAAAAAATATAAATTTCTTTTACATTCTTACTTGTCACATATATAACATAAAAATGTCATTAAAGCATAAATGTTTTTTTATACATAACAATATTAGTTAGTGTCATGGTAACACTCACCTTTAGGATTATAAACACCTTGACTGCATACACTAAATTTTGTAACATTTTTTGTATGATTTATTAATCTTTTATGCTGAGAGATTTTAAAACACTTTGCTGTTTGACAACACTTTGCATATCCATAGGGTAAACAGTCTGAGTCATTTTGACAAGTATACTGACATGATTCAGGCCAAGTGTCTAGTTTAGGACAGTATGCATTGCCTGGACTGTTCTGTAGTTGATCTGATCGACTATAGACTTTTTGAGCTGTATAACATGCTTTTAAACAAGTCGATTTGATATTGTGTGTTAGCGATTCTAAGGAAGAGTGAGAGGAAGACAGAGTTGCTGTTGATGCCGGTGAGAGTACTGCTGAATTAATTGGCTTGTTTATACCATTTGAATTTGATGCTGATGAATATTTCTAAAAGGTATGTAAAAAGAGATGATTAAATAAGGATCATATAAGTAAATAGTATAATGACTATCATTATAAAGAAATATAGAAATATATGAAGATATATAATAAAGTCATGGCGAAACTGTCTATTGCTGTAACAAACAAAATCCATGTATGCTGATAGAATAGCAATAGTATGATTATTAATCAATCTGAGATAGATCAATAAATAAATGATTATCTTAGAAGTGCAGCTACTTACTATCACTAATGATTTTCCTAATTGTAGTGGACTGGATCACAGGACAGATCATTTGATGGGAGCGAGAAGACCGGATTACGATGGGTTGGCAAGGAGATTCTAGAACCCTCAGACTTTGCATACGATTTGTCTGTAATTTCCCATAAAATCGTAGATCCGTAGACGAAAAGCAACAAGTAGTAAGGAGAGACATTCAGAGAAGTGTGAACACAGTGAAGACAGAGGCGATGAAGATAATCAACCAACAACAACCATCATGAATCACTATCAATAAGAGAAATTTTGGACGAGATCACATTTTTCACTTGTCTAAGCAGCAGAATCGTTCCAACTACATGCGGAATGGATGAAGATGTCAAAAGGTAGTCAAGATCGGAAGGCCAAGACAGACCTCCATTATTCTGAAATCAATCTGGAAATCTTCTGCACTCAGCATAAAGGACGCGATTCTGATTTTTCAACACTTATGTCAAGTCAATTATGGCTACTAACTGTGTGGTTCAGAGTTTCCATGCCTGTAACGGAGAGCATTTCGAATGGGCTACTGCAGACAATAATCAACAGTTTCTTCCACGGGATCCATACTGAAGATCCGATGACCGGCATGAAAGAATCAGAGATGAGAATCTCTAGGAACTGAGAAGCTACTACTCAACAGATGGAAATGGATTTGACGACTACAGAGAACAGTATGGAATCGAGATGCGCTGTTGCAGCCCTGTACTCCGCTCGGAATCTGAGCGAATAATCATAATAATAACATGCAGCTCGCTAGTGATATCTATTTCCCAACAGCGGTATAAGTGATACCGGTTCTTATCAAAACCTACATCGACATATGGAAAAAATTATATTTGTGAAATCTCAGTGAGACTGAAATGAGTAATTCCAACGTTTCGTTCGGCAATCTGGTCCGAACTTCTTCAGGGAAACCAATCGAAATTAACATAACAGAGGTCTACATATAAAAGGAACATCTCTTGCTTTTAAAAGCTTTGTGCAATCATCAGTCATGAAACAGGTATCAAAATGTGTAATAAACAAAATTGTATGAGCTGTGATCAAAATTTGACCATGAACTTACAAATATTGGTCTACCTTTGTTAAACACTTTAAACAGAGTGTGTATGTGTGTGTGTGGGTAAACAGTTGTAAAATATTTGTTAACGTCTCCATAAGAAGATATGAAAAGTCGAGAATTTTGACCGAGTATTAGTAATTAGTGATAAATATCCATTGTTATTTATTAATCAGGATTTCCTATTCATCAGCTAACATCACACCTTCATGTCTGTTCAAACTGTTAGTATCTAGAATTTTGTGATTAGACGTATTTTCAAAATTATGGTGTTGAGGATTAGGGTTTAGTTGAAGCACCCTGTCGAACTTATTGCTTTGTCTTATTTTTGAAGATTGAGCTGCTTTATTTGACCTACTAAAGTTGTCAGGTGACTCGAAAGCTACGGATTTAGGATATGCATCCTGTTGCAGACAAAGGAGAGTGAAAACACGAAGACTGTGCCAATTACATAGTTTCTTTGTTAATTTAATTTGATTGCAAAATAATTCAAATGAACTGTCGTCAAGATTTGACAGAATAGTTCTAAAATATTTGGGCGCCGAGTGAGAAGTAGACATTTGTAATCAAAATCGCACAAACTCACCATCTAAATATAAACCTACAATTCAACAGCAGCTGACTTCGAAACGGAATTCATAAAAGTTTTCTACAAGCTACTTAAATAAGAAGCTTACGTTTTTGCTTTGTTTTTTTCTAACGAAGCTTGGCTACCAAAGTTGCTGTTAGAAGAATAATACTTGAATAAACTGATACCGTTACTACTTTTTTAAGCTTTGTAGATTTTTCGCTACTATTTCAGAAGGGAAATATTTGAGAATATTATTATTTATTATTGTTATTATTCCCTTGGATTACGAGTGAAATATATGGCTTTAGTAGCACATCTCCATATCATCCTGTTTTCTGAAGTCTTTTTCATCTGGCACCCCAATTGACCGTTGACTTTCATTTCGTCCTTACATGTTGTCCTGAATGTCACTGTTGGATCAACGCCCAACTCATCGTTTCCTATTCAGATTCCATTTGGGACACTACGAAATGTGATGTCGGTCAGTGGGATAATTAAATTTCTAGGATGACTTGTGTGTAGTCTGAGTGAATTATGAAATATTAAGAATAATTCCCTAATGACTAACACACTTCGTATTAACCATCATCTCAAGTTTTATCAGGGATTGATACCAGTTAGAGAACTATTGAAAACTAGGGAGTACTGGAAAGTTGTTTCACCCTGATTTAGGGCTCCTCATCAGTACGCTCCCATTGGGGTCTGAACCCAAGACCTTCCATTTACAAGCCAAACTCGTTAACCATTCAGCCACTAGGACCCGATCTAGTGATCTATGAATTCCAACTTCTATCAACTCATGATTTTAGCGTGACTACCAGCCAGTGTCATTGGTGAGTATTTCTTCTAACACAAATCTAAATCACTGCTGAAGACTCCCGAACTATTAGAGTAGGACAGCTGTCCAGTACTCCCTGCTGGCTTTTATTGGTTCTCTAGCTAACATCAATCCGTGATCAATTTCGGAAAGGTGTCAAATCCCTACACATTAACTCAAAAAAAAAATTAACTGTTATTTTTAACAAGGCATTCAATTATGACTTTCTGTTTTTGAACGCTGACAGTACTTAGACAAACAGTGAAATCTGTATTATATTAAATCTCCTACTGATAGAGGCAAAGTGACAGTGAGCTCATAACTTTGTGAAAACTAGCTGAGAAGCTCTTAGATTTTCCTTTATTGATGTACAATGTCGACAACTAGAGAAGAGGACGAACAAGAAATATGTGATCGTCTTTAATCCCAATAGGCTAATAACGCACAAACATTTGTTATAATTACCAGAAAGCTTCTACATATTAAAAATAGGATAAATACAGTTTATCATGATGTTATCTATGTCCTCTAATCAGTCGTCATAATAAAAGCATAAATTAAGAAATAAAAAATGCTTAAGTAAGTTAGAAATTAGAGCGCGAAAATACAAAATTGAACAGAAGTCGGTTCAATGCTCAATGTTAGCAGATATTATTAAGCATTTTGTTTTATTGTTGTTTTGCTCAACATAAAAACAAGTAATAAAATAAAATAAAATAAATAAATAAATCTTTTAAGTTGATTAATCTGTATTACAAAAGAGAGAAGGAAAGAGTCAAGTTCAATTTGTTGATTTTCAAATTGACTGTTTAACTGTTTCTCTATGATAATGATAAAGAAAATCTAATTGTAAGAGAATAATGTCCAATGTTGCTTTGTTTATCTGAATGAATTAAGTAAGGAAAAGTAATTTCTCCTTATTATTATCATTATTATAATTCTTCAATTTGTTTATCTACAATTGAGTAAGTAGCTTAACAATAAATGAGGTGTCTTTAATTAGATTAAATGAAATAATAATTAGGTTAATGAGAATAGAACCTGAAAAAAACAAGATGAGAACCATTATTTGTTAATCTTTGTGACTACCCTTCACTTAATTACATACAGAAATAAGGTATGTACATGTAATTTTCTGTTTTTTGCCTAAATGTTTTTATTCTGTCGTTTGGCATTTGTTTGCTTCCTACAATTGAATAATTCAATTTCTTTTTTCGGCAGCAGATATAAAAGCTCTTTTATAATATCCTAAGCTTATTATTGTCAATTTCGATCATGAATTGACTTCGGTTAGAGAACCTTCGAAGACTAGGGAGTACGAGATAGTTGCTTCATCCTAGATTCGCGACTCTTCATCAGTATGTACCCATGACCCCAGCAGGGATCGGATCCACGACCTTTAGGATACAAGGTCAGCTCGGTGATCATTCAGGTATTGGAAGGAAATCCAATGGCTTATGAGTTCTGCTATTATTATTGTTTCCTTAGGTTCCAAGTGAAATATAAGACTTCAACAGTACATCCCCACTTTATTCTCTTCCCTGAAAAACTCTTTATAGCCGCCACCACGCTTGTCCAGAAGCTGTCATCTCCTCCTGACTCGATCTCCTCCATACCAACCTTGGACAGTCTCCCAACAATTCGTCGTTTCCGATTCGGGTTCCACTCGAGGGACAGCCTGGATCAAGATGCTATCCAACAGTCTCTTCAGCATGTGTTCAATCCATCCCCATCCTTTTCGACATCTTTGTTGAACAATAGGTTATTGGTTCGTTCATCACCTACCAGAGTTCCTTGTTGCTAACTCTTTCTGGCTGGACACCACATCTCAAGAATAGAGCCAGCCAAGGAAGCCGCTGATAAAAGTCTGCAGTAGTCTGTTGGAAATGCTTTTTGTGAAGCACTTGCCAATTTTTTGATCCATATAGAAGAACTGAATGACTTAACATTCATATTGGAAATCTGAATTTTGTTCTTTATGCTGAGTGAAGCACATATTCAGACTGATGAAGATCTGCTTTGCCTTTCCGATCCTGACCGCCTTTAAAATCTCCATTCGTGCCATCTGCCTGTAGTTGAAACAATGTCGCCTAAATAAGTGAAGGGATTAACCTCTTTCAAATTTCTTACACTGATGGTGAATGGTGCTTGTTGTTGTTGTGGGTTGTTTATCTTCATCGCCTCTGTCTCCTCTATGCTCACCCGAAGTACCCTTGTTGCTGTCCATTACTCCCTCCTAACTTGTTGGTTTTCGCCCGTAATTCTTCGGGTCTTTGTGACACTGGACGTAAATCAC